GGGGACGTGTGTGTATTAGTGGGGCTGGAACTCAGGGACCTGTGCTCACTTGCTTTTCCCCAGCTCACAACCAGTGCTTTACCGCGTGGGCCACTCCTCCAGCCCAGGCTGGCTTCTCAAACCTCGATCCTCACACCTCCTGAGTGGCTGGGATTACAGGGGTCATGCCTGAAACCACACGCTCCTAATCTTAGCCAGGTCTACTTCCTCGGTCGCTACAGGTCACTGCTCGTGTCCTCGTGCAGCAGGCGGTGTGGACACGCGGGTCTGTGTGGCTTGTGCTGCAGCAGAGGAAGTGGAGGCTCACAGGCTCATCGCTCGCAGTGGAGCAGGGAAGGCAGTGAAGCGCACTCAGTGCGGGCAAGGCCTGGGGCTCCACCCAGAGCCACGGAGCTCTGCCATGTGCCGGGCTGCAGGGAGCATCAAGGAGCCCTGCTCGGGGCTGTAGGACGCCCGTCCTCTGCTGGCGTGCTCTGGGCGTGTGGCTCACAGGGAAAGGCCGCGGTAGGTGCTGTCCCCTCTACACCAACGTATCCACGTTTGCTTCTAGCTGCAAACCCAATGGGCTCCTCTTTTTACCCTTCTACTCATACTGTGTGTGCCCTTTTTCTGCCAGTTCTGGGGCTTTAAGTTTAGGGTATGGATGCTGCCCGAGTTTTTCTTGCTTAAGGCTAGCGCTCTACCACTTGAGTCTCAACTCCATTTCCACTACCCAGCTTTTTGGAGCCAGGCATGGGTGGTTATGCCTGTCATCTGGCTACTCAGGAGGCCGAGAATAGAGGATTGTGGTTGAAAGCCAGCCTAGGCAGGAAAGTCCGTGAGACTCTTATCTTCAAAACACCACCAGAAAACAAAGTGATACTGTGGCCAAATGGTAAAGTGCTCACCGTGAGCTGAAGAGCTCAGAGACAGTGCTCAGACGGAGTTCAAGCCTCATGATGGAAGGAAAAAACAGTGTAATGGACCTTCCTGGCCAGGCTGGCTGGGAAGTTCCCTCCCGGGTCTCAGCCTCCTGAGTGGCTGGGACAATGGGCGGGAGCCACCGGGCCCCGCAGCGATGGCAGCGAGACCTTTCTCAAGGCACAGGCCGTATTAACTTAGGTGCTGCAAGCAGCAGCCCACACAACTTCACACCTGGTAAAGTTCTTACCTCAAAAAGCAAGCCAGCCCTCCCACATTCCTTCCTGAAGCTTCCATGTCACGATGCTGTCACCCCTCGGGCGGGGGAGACACTGCCAGTGCTCAGCACGATGAGGCCAGGCCTCCTGCCCACTGTCTACGCCGCCCTTTGCTGGAAGAATGTGCTAGAATCTCCAGTGACTGCAGCTAAGGACCAGGACTTTATTGCTTCAAACCGTTTGTACGATCCACAGACAGACAGTG